TCTCCATCTCTCCTCCTCCCCTGCCTGCATCTCTTCATCCTGGTCGAGGACACTTTTCAGTTTTTATTAATGCACCGCAGCCAATTAACGCAATGGCACGCAGGCCAGAGCCCGTCATCTGCTGCCTGCCACCATCCCGGCTGTCTGCCGCGGCCCCCACACCAACCCTCGCACCACCTCCACCGTGACCAAAACGCTTTAATTCAATTCATGCAATCACTGTTATTTTTAAATAGTCATTTTGTCTGCTCAGATGAGGGGACGTACTGCCCGCTGGGCCGGTCCTCTCGTGTGAAGGACGGGGCGGGGTGCTGTAGGACTAACAGTCCACTGACTTTCTGGAAAGCGGGGGCAGATATTTTTATTTTCTAGATTGATATTTAGTTTTTATTTTTGAACCAGGAAATCATCTTTTTGCCTACATTGAATTTATCTCCAGTTCTTTCCTTAAAGAGCAAGTTCACTGAGAAACCATTCTCCCATTTCCTGCATTTGCAGCTGATAGAACAAACGCTCGGGTCAGTAAAATCCACTCATACCTACGTCACACTGCAAATTAGCATTCATTGACTCACCCGTGCTGCTCATCATTGAAGAAGGCTGCACTGATTTTTGCAGCCAGGAGAGAACAAAGCAGCTACCTGTTAGCATTAGCAACTCTATAAAGCAAAACTGCACAACGTCCCGCTCTAGCAGGAAGCGCTAATGTCATGTGTGCACCCCCCAACAAGCATACGCTGACAGCTAACCAAAACAACAATGCTCAAAAAGAAAAAAAGTGCTGCTGTTGGCACTTATTTTATTAGACCGAACCGCAAAAGGGGGTGGCTCATATCTTCCTGCGAGTAGCTTCCACTGCTGCTAATGTTGCTAATTCTATGGTAAATGGTAGAAGGACTTAATTTTTATAGCGCCTTCTTAGGGTTCTACAACCCCCCCCCCCCCCCCCCCCCAAGGTGCTTCACAACACAATCATTCACCCATTAGCACACGTTCACACACTCGTAGGGATGACATAGCCACAGCTGCCCTAGAGCGCACTGACGTACCTGCCGAACACAGGCACCACCGGTCCGTCCGACCACCAGCAGGCAAGGCGGGTTAAGTGTCTTGCCCAAGGATACAACAGCAGAATTCTCTGTCTGGAGCTGGGATTGAACTTGCAACCTTCCAATTACAGGAAAACCCACTCTAACCCCTGAGCTTATGCTGCCCCATTCTACTCTCGTGTTGCACTCTCATCATTGTTTGCGTCATTCCCTGGGTGTAGTCTCATTGGTCGATTGCACTGGACGGCCACAGACTAGCCGATCACCCTCCAAGTTTACCGTGCTTTGTCACGATTCTGTTCATGATGGGGAATGTCTCTAGGGCGGCCGAAAATCACACAGCGTGGTCTGGACTTAACTCCTCCAGGCTTTTGTTATTTGTGGAGATAAAACGTTATAGATAGAGTGATAGCGTCACGTTGCTGTTAGCCAATAAGGGGTGAGATGCCTGAATGAATAAAAATGATTAAGACTCCAAACTCTGCTGTTTTCTGTCCTCCCACTCCTCTAGCTAACTTCAACTTCCTGAATCAGGAGCGCCAGAGCTTTGTTCAACAGAGAACAACTCACAAGGCATTCCTTCAAACTAGGGGCCACTGCAGATTTATTGAGAACTCAAACGAATGAGAGCTTGGAATATTTGCATTTTTCTAAACTCACATACTTTTCTGACACTTCTCGGTGTCTCTGTGTCACTCGTGGGTCACAGAATTGATCACGGGTAATCCCACCCTCTGGCCTGGCCTTCAAATATTGATCTAAAATTCTGTGTCATCACTGTGGATCTTTAATCGTCCCCCGCTGGAGCGGGTATCAGCCGGGCAGATCTGCTAAGGTGCACAATGCTATTCTGCACCACTCAGATAACTCGCAGACATTTGGAGTGCTCATTTTCCCCCCGTCTGCCCCGGTGACCTCTGCCTAACTTAAAGGTACATCTTGGGGGCATTTTGATTTGGGCAGAATGGGGAGGTATCAGTGACAGGGGAACTAATCCAGTATTGCACAGATTAAGAGTATTTGTGGGAGTGGAGTGTGTTGGCGCTGGGAATGGAACAGAAGAGGTTCCTATCAGCTCTCCAGGCAGGCTGGCCCTCAGGCCAACGCAGTCCTACAGGAGTCTTTGTACTTCCCAAAGCCTCCACTCCACTCCACTCTCCTCTCACTTTCTGTTTCACTCGTCCCTCTGTCTGCTCCTCTTTCCTTTTGTAGTCCGTCGTCGGGTTCACAGCTCTCCATTTTCTCCCTTTGCACTTTTGCGTTGTTTTAACCCAGAAAAAAGCTGCAAACTCATCCTGACCAGGTGAAAATGTGATTCCTGTCGATTAAAAATCAGGAAAAATACCAACAAACACATTTTTATGATAAAATAATAAACTCTTTATGCTTCTTTCTGTTTTATTCCCTTGTGTAAACCAAAAGTCTTTCCCTGCTTTCTGCCTGTGTCACATACTTTTATATTCTAGCAAGAATGACAACAAAGAACAACTAGTCGAACATTCACACAAACAACAACAACAACAAGAAAAGTAATTTGGCTGTTGAGGAAATTAGCACGATATGAAAAGGGCCTCTCTTTGTCTCAGCTCTGCTACTTATTTATCTGAAAGGATGCACATTGTATCAATTTACACTTCCCCACTCACGTTGCCACAGGCCGCAGGGCTCAGAAGTTGAGAGAATTAATTACTTTTTTATTATTATTTATAAAGTAATCTATCTGTGGAGACTGAAAGCAGGAAAAAAGCAGGGAGAGGGTGAGGGAAGGGGTGTGTGTGTGAGAGAGGCAGGGAACGCCCTGGAGCATTGTCCTTTAAACTGGGTCCTGGCTCACATTATCTCCCAAACCAGCACTCACACAAAGTCGAACAACAAACGAACGGCGGGGCTGCTGAGGAGCCTGTGTGCAGCATTCTGGGTAGGGGGGGGGGCAAAAGAAAGAGAACTCAGCTTTAAAAGTGAACGGCATGAATAAAAAAAAATGTCTGTTTTATTCGTTCTCTACAGTTTTAGACCATTTTAAACTTCACGCTTCCCGTTTAATCGTCTGAATGTGTAATTTGAGCTCCTTCTGTGCGCAGCGATGTTCTAAAGCACGCATGAATATTTTCCTTTGCTTGAAATTTCAGTATTTGCGGGCGAGGCTGTAAACAGCAATAATGCATGTGCTTTTCACTTGTTTGAAAGGCTGCATGTAGCTAAGGAAACACGTAAATATGTCAAAATGTTTTTTTTTTTACCTTAAGTCTCCTAAATCTTTGATTTGAGCCAAAAGAAAACTTCCAGAGACATCAAAGCATTAATTAAAGTTCACCCAGAACGCAGATTGTTGTAGAAAGGAGAGAATAAGTTCTATTTTTAACTTTGCAAGCTTGGTCCTATCTGGGCCTTCATCAGACCTCGAGTATTGTGTTAAAACCGTATATTGATTTTTATTTTGCAGTGTGAACACAAAACAAATGAGAATCCAACTTCTCCAATAAACTGTTCTTTCTCTCCCCTGAAGGAAAACTTAAATCATTAACCCAGAATCTTTGTGCGTGTGTGTGTGCTTGTGTGTGCGCGAGGACGACTGAAGGATATCCTCACACTCGCCAGCGCTTGTCACACTCTAAAGCAGCCATCCCATCCTAATTTGCTAAAATAGCAAAACTGCATCATGTGGACGATAAGAAGTCATCTTCTCTTGAAGAACTTTTATGAGCGTGAATAATAATTGAGCCAATTGTTGGCTATTCTGCTCCATAAGAGAACGATTCAATCAAGCTCCAATTAACCAGCGACTAAAACGAACTCTTCCCCGTGGCGGTCTCTCTCAGGACACTCCACTTCCTCTCTCGCTTTTGGGTGGAAGCGGGCGGTCAGGACATTCCTGCTCTTCCTCCTTGCTCTGTGAGGGAGCAGAACATGTGTCTGACATGAAGAGGGCCATGAATCTTCTTCTTATAGATAAATGTCACATGCTTTGT